AGCAGGTCAACACGGAAGCGGATGAGATGGTAGGAAGGCGGGAAAATAAGTTGTTACATAAATATACAGGCAATTAGGTAAGGGGAAAGATTGATAAATTGAGAAGTAGAAATAAGCTGATGAATTGATAAGTAGATGTTAGCAGGGGGTTAGAGAGACCAGGGCAGGATGAGGGCAGGCAGCAGGGGGGCTGGGCACGTGGCTGGAGAGACCCATACAAGGTGAGCAGGGCCTTGGATGTGCTGCTAAGGGTAACAACAACACAGAACAGAAACCGTGCTTGGTTGAGTCGGGCAGCGGGCAGGGAGCCAAGCTGAGCGTGGAGCGGGCCAGCGGTGGGCCAGGGAAAACCCATGGGGAAGTGCCAGCTTCCGGGAGCAGGTGTTTCTCCTTCTGAGGCACCTGGGCGTGACAGTGAAGTGGGTCTGACTGGCTGGGAAGCCTCCCAAGGTGAAAGGACCAGAGTTGTCCTCACCAACCTGTCTCCTTCCAGGAGGCAAGGAGGGTCCCCGGATCAGAGCAGGAAGGGGCTCCGGGGCAAGGAAGGAGGGGAGACAGAGGGCGCAGCCCCTCTCCTCGCTGTGGTCCTCGTTCTGGTGGCTCTCATCCTAGGGACCAAATGGGGAAGGAAGCTGGAGGGAGAGCTGGGCCGCCTGGGGCCGCCTCCTTTTCCAGTAAATCAGGCTGCATCCTAGAGGGAGCCTTTGTTCTGTGGTTCCTAGAACAGTGTCCTCATGGACAAAAATACCTCTTCAGGAAAACACAGAGTGACAAAGTAGCAATGGGAAGCCAAAGAAAATATGAAACCATGCTGGGGCAGGATGTCCTACAGCCTCTGAGAAAGCTTTCTGCAAAGGCCCTGTGGGCTCCACTCCCTTCACAGACCCGAGGCTGGCTGGGTCTGACCTCGCCCCCGTCACCCTTCTGTTGACCTGGGGTCTGTGGCAGCCCTGAACCAGCTTTCCTCTCACAGAGAATACATATGCCTTATGTTGGATCATGTCACTCAGAACAGCCCCTCTGGGTCCTACTATCACCTCCATTTTACAGAAGGGGAAACTGAGGCCCAGAGGGGTCCCAGGAAGTGCTCATGGTCACACCCCTTGGGAGGAGGGAGTCACCACTGGCTCCTGGGCCATCTGAGGCCACAGCCCATGCGTTTCATCGAGTGTCAACCGAGAGCATGGGCCACATTGACTCATTTCTTGGACTGACACAGCACTCAGGCACTCAGCCCTGTGTTTCGCATGGAGCAGGTGTCTAGATATTGTGTGGGGCCCCCAGTGAGACTGTAGACACGATCGTTTTCTTAGCACCTCAACCCCCTGGTTTATTTTCCCCCTGTCTAATTTGCCTTGCCGTTAGCTCGTCCTGGAGTTATCTGTCTAATGCCAAGTGCTGCCTTGGATAGTTGCCCAGCTAGCATTTCCTTTAAACCTCACTGTGGCCCTGGGAGTTTTCTATCATCTCTCTCATTTTAGAGACCAAAAAACCGAGGGTCAGAGTGGTCCAGTCATGTGGCCAACGTCGCACAGTTTGTAAGTTGCAGAGCATGGCCTCAGACCCAGAGCTGTCTCTGGCATCCAGCCTGGTTCTTTTTCCATCACCTCCATCCTAACTCTCTTCTCTGGCCTCACGTTGCCCTTCCAGGCATTGTTACCCACTGTCGGCCAAAATTCGCCCAAGCGTTTGCTCTGATTTCCCAGGGAAGCTGCTGAGTCCCGTCAGGACAAGGACCCTGACTCCCAGGCCACCCCCAAGCTCGCCGGGGGTTGGATGCCCACATGCTGCTTTGTGTAGCAGAGTCAGAGCCCCAAGCTCACGTCCCCAGAAGTGGGCTTTCTGCACAACTGCAACCGAAGAGCTGTGAGATCTGAAGGCACCTTCTGAATCATCGCGCGGTTTCACTTTGAAGACGGTCAGCCTGTTTCTGGTATGTTTACACTTCCCCCTCAGCTTGTTTGGAAGAGGCGGCCAAGCAGAAAGTGCAGCAATGTGGCCCCCTCCCCAGGCCATGACCTGAGGCAAATCACTTAACCTCTCCGTGCCTCAGTTTACTCATCTGTAAACTGAGAATCAGAGTGGTGCAAGAACCATTCACCCACCGATCTACCCACCCATTGCCCATGCACCCGCCCACCCATCACCCATCTACCCATCCACCCACCCATCTACCCATCCACCCACCCATCACCCATCAACCCATCCACCCACCCATCTACCCATCCACCCACCCATCACCCATCTACCCATCCACCCACCCATCTACCCATCCACTCACCCATCACCCATCTACCCATCCATCCACTCATCACTCATCCACCTACCCACCGGCCTGTCCACCTATGCGTGCATCCCTCATTCACCCATCCATCCATCCAACCTTCAACAAATACACACTGCCCACCCTGTGCCAGGCACTGTGATGGGCATTTGGACTGCATCTATGCTGGAAACATAGATCCCTGCCCTTGTGGAGCTTATTTTTCAGTGGGAGAGTCAGACAACAAACAAAAAACATAACGCAATGTAAAATATAGAGAAGGTGAAAATATCAGTCGAAAGAGGGAGCTCAGAGTGTGGGCAGGGAGTTGCAATTCTAAATGGAATGGTCAGGGTAGGCCTCGTTGAGAAAGTGACATCTGAGCAAAGAGCTGAAGTACCTGAGGAGGTTGGCTAAGAGGATGTCTGGAGGAGTGTTCCAGATAGAGAGAACAGCACGTGCAGAGGTCCTGAGGTAGGCAGCATGCCAGGCCTATCCCAGGAACAGAGAGGGTGCCGGCATGGCTGGAGTAGATGGGCAAGGCAGAAGTAGGGAATGAGAGCAGAGCAGTAATAAGAGCCAGATCACGAAGGGCCTTGTGGGCCATTGTCTGGATTTAGCTTTTCCTCTGAGTGACATGGGGAGCCATAGCAGGGTTTGGAGCCGGAGAGAGGCAAGATCTTTCTAGGGTTGTAGAGAGAGTTACAAAAACTTCACATGGATGATTTCCTCTTCTGAACCCCTGTTGAAACTGAAGTCAGTGCCCTTTATTTACAACCCACGCAATTCTCTTTCCCTGTTCTCCTTCCGCACTGAAGCTGCTCCTTCCCCCGGTCCCGCAGGAGCACATCTGCCTGTAGACCTTGGCCAAGCCTTGCAGCCCAGAGGGGAGCTGGCCCGGAGACCAGGAAACAGAGCAGGGAAAGGAAGCCATTTGTCCTTCTCTGTCTCCCAGCCCCCTGAAGACCGCGCCAGCCTGAGCCCAGTTCCTTTTCTAGAGTCTCATGGGACAGAAATATAAATATTACATCCCCAGAGAGGAAATGGAGTTAAAGAAGAGGAACCAGTGCTTGAGCAGAGAGAGGTGGAGGGAGGGGCGGAGGTGTTGGGCGGTCTCACGTACAGGAGTGTGCAATTTGGGGGGTGGGGGGGTATCAAGGAGAGAGGAAGGCTTCGACCCCCCCCAGGTTGGCATGTGCGCCCCCATCAAGGGCACACAGGCTGCTTGCACTCCCATTAAGAGGCCAGGGAGATCATTTACATCATAAAGATGGCCCGTCTCCCCAGGGGTCTGTTAGGAACTGAGAGTAAAAGATGCGCCCCAGAAACCTGTAGAGACCGTAGGGGTGAGAACTGAGCCCCGAAGACAGCCAATCCCATTTCAACTTGTGTCTTGGCAGAAGCATTGGAGAAATACCCGCACCGCCCTGGTGCCCCTGGCAAGACCATCAAAAGGTTTTTTACCCCTCAAGGCCGGGTTGAGTGTAAAAGCTTGTCGCCTCCAAAGCCAGCCTCCCCCACTTCCCACCTGGGGACCCCGGGGGATGTCATCTCAGTTTTCTTCTTCATGTGTGGAATAAGAACGGAGCTCATCAAAGGGCTTAGGGTGGGCGTGAGAACTACCTAAGTGGGTGCTGGAATGTGCATAGGCCGTGCCCGGGCACTCAGTAAATACTCAATAAAACAGGAATCACTGTTATGAGCTCAAGTTTCAAGTTACTCGAAAACTATAAAGGGACCGAGAAGAGTGAGAGTTTATGACACCCAGTCATAAAATTGGAAAAGCACAGATTTGCGTTGAGACAGAACAAACTTTAGGAAGACCGTTGTTTGCCACAGAATGAAAATCTCTTTGTAACTGGGAAGGAAGACGTAGAATGTTCTAGAAGGCAAAGGTGCGAGTGGAAACAGTATGGAGTAGGCTTGTTTTTCTGATTTAAGATGCGTCGTGTCGTCAATACTCTTTTTAAAAATAAGACACTCTTTCCTTCTCTCCCTCTGATCTGGTTCTTAGTCTCTGCCTCTGTCTCTCTTTCTCTCTATCTCTCTTTCTCCTCATCTTCTTCCTCTTTCTTCTGGCTCTCCCTCCATCTCTCCTTTTCTCTGCCTCTTTCCGTTCTGTCTCTTCCTTCCTTCCTTTCTCTCTCTCCCTGTCTGTCTTTCAGTTTCTGTCTCTCTCTGTGACACAGATGCACACACATACACACAAATACCCACATATGCAAACATAAATGCACACACGTGCACAAACACACGCACTTGCACACGTATACAGACACGGCATCCTCTGCTCTCCAGCTCCTTGGCTCCTTCTCTCTGTGGCACCCCACTTCTCCATCTTTGAACCACAGTGATTGTGCCTGTATTCATCTTCCCCACTAGAGCATGAGTCTCTGGCACGCAGGTGCTGACCTGTGTACCTGTGCCCTCTCCATGCCAGGCCCTGTGCCTGACATGTCAAGGTGTCCCAGAGAGTGACCCAGGTGGGCATTTGGCGACATGCCTCCAGGATGGCTTTCTCTTAAGCTGAGTGGGAAGCATACCCAACATCCCAGACTGAGTTCTCCAAGAACTTGCTGTGCCTGCCAGCTCAACCAGAGGCCCTGATTCCTGCCTGGGTCTGCCTTCCCAGCCCAGGACAGAAACGATCACATCGACTTCCTTCCAGAGAGGAGGGACAATCCTTGAGCTGCCTACAGCCAGACATTGCTCCTTGAGCAAAGGGATGCCAACTTACCACCAGGGTCCTTGTAGCTGGGGTCCCACTCGGCCGCTGGAGCCTCTAGCCCACTCCAGCCCCATCCCAAGAGGGTCAAGTTCAGGTCTCTTTTTTCCAGCAGAGTCAAGGAGATCTTCCTGGCCAGAGCCTCACCATCCGGCTCATGGAGCAGGGCGCTGTAGTACTCCCTGGAGAGAAGCTCCTCTTCCAGCATGCTGTCCAGGAGGGCCTGGACCTCACTTGGCTGATGGCTGGACAGCAGCATCCGGACATGAGTCAGGATGGTCTGGAACTGGTTCATGGCAGGGCTCGGAGCCTAGGATCTCTGCTCACCCTGCCTGCAGCATCCAAAACATGAAGTGAAAACCAGGATGAGGGAAGCTCTGGGTTTGATTGCAGTTTATTCCTGCTTAGGAAGATTTCCTCATTTGCATCGTAGGCTGGGGTGCCTGACGAATGGATGGAAATGGGTTCTCAGGGTGATTCAGACCCCACAGATAGTCCCTGGTACCACTTGTGTGCGTGTGACAAAGAATCCCACAGCCTCGTGAGTTCCATCGGATCCAATCCAGTATTTACTAAGAGGAAGAGAACTTGCCCATCCATAGTGTAACCGGCCTTTTCAGATGCTGTATCACGAAAAGAAGGCATCGGAGCATAGAGGTCAACCAGCTGTATTTGGGGCTCATCTGCCTGGGTTCAAACCCCAGCTCCATCGCTTGCTCGTTATGTGACCTTGAGCAAGTTATTCAGCCTCTTCTAGCCCCCATTTCTCCATCTGAAAAGTTGGAGTGATCATAATAGTACTCACTTCATAGAGTTGTTCGGAGGATTAAATGAGATAACGTATACAGAACACCTGGCACATCATCTACAACACATAATATTTCAAGAAATTTGAGTTCCATAAATATGAGCCATTATTATTATTATTGATTAATCAAGCAGAGAATTCTGTCTCACCTTGGGATCAACCTCATTAAACCTCAGTCTCCTCCACTGCAAAACCTCTTAATAAAGGCAATCCAAGCTCACTGAGTTGTCTTGAGAGTTAAAAGAGATAATGCATGTGAGGGACTTAGCATGGGATCTAGTAAGCACTCAATGAACATTGACTATATGCTAATATTATCACCAATTCACTAAGGCACGAAACAGAGGCTTTGCATAGGAGACAGTCTGTTTGAGGATTCTACCCTAAAAATCCCCAACCCCATTCTTCTTTATCATAGCTGATCGCTCTCCCTGAAACACACCTTGACCTTGTTTCCTCTCCCGGCTTCAGCTTTACCATCTCTCACATGGGGCCATTTGCATTGTTCATTTCGATGAGACAAATAAGGATTTCCACTTCCAGTTTGGCGGAGTAGCTCCTGTCCGACCAACTTTACCACAGATAACAACTACAAACTCTGGGGGGAGGGGAATATAAAAAGCAACTACCTGAGGGCACTGGAGAGTGACCAGAGCAGGCAGATACTGGAAGGGAGTCAACATGTGGAGGATAAGAATATCACTGGTGAATTTCCAGCTCATGAGTTTAGCCTGAAGGCAGGTCTCCATCAGTGCTGTGCTGGGGAACTAAAACCCTGAAAAAAAAAAAAATGCAAGTTTTACCGCCCTGCATAACCAGAGGACAGAATTTGGTGTAACAATAGCTGTTGGAAAGTTGGGGTAGAAATTCCAGAAAGAGAGAGACAGAGAGAAGTTGCTCAAATTCTGTATAGAAATTGCCCAAATGTCTGGCTGACCCCTGACCCACGGATGTATTCAAGGGCAGACTCCAAACAGCTTTAAGGCTAGAGGATTAAGATTTGAGCCGCAACCTACTACGGGGGTGGGGGTGGGGGGGTAGGAGACTTTGCATTTGATTTCAGACAAGATATGAGTCTGCCACAACAGCAACAAAATTCACACTCTTCAGATTATAACAGAATCCAGAGTGTTTACAACAGATTATTCACCATGTGCAGTATGTATCCAAAGTTATTTGACTATAATGAGACAAGAAAAAGGGACCCATTCTCAAGAAAAAGAAGACAATCAATGGAAACTGATCCCAAGATGACCCAGATGTTGAATTCAGAAGACAAGGATTTTTCAAGCAGTGATTTTAACCATGAATGAAAAAGACATAAAGGATGTAGAGGAAAATATGCTAATAAAAGTGAAAAGATAGGAAATGTCAGCAGAAAACTAGAAACTATTAAAAAATTACCAAATGAAAATTATCGAAGTGAAAAGTACAATATGGGAAATTTTAAAAGTCACTGGATGGGATTAACAGCAAAATGGGAATGACAGAAGAAAGAGAAACTTTATGATGGAGCAATAGAAATTAGTAGATCTGAAGAACAGAAAGAAAAAGATAGAAAAAAAATGAGCTTCAAGCATCTGTGGGACAGTCAAAAGCTCCAATTTATACATATTTAGAGTCACAGAAGGAGACGAGAGACAGAATGGAATAGAAAAAAGATTTAAAGAAATAAAGCCCCAAACTTCTCAAATTTGGTGAAAGCTCAGCAAGATAAATACAAGGAAACCACAACCAGACACGTTGTGGTCAAACTGCTGAAAGCCAAAAACAAGGAGAAACTCATGAAAACAGCCAGGTCAAAACAACACGTTACATACAGGAGAGCATGTGAATCACAACTGACTTCTCATTAGAAACTATGGGGGCCAGAAGACAGTGGAACAACATCTTGGAAGAACTGAGAAGAAAAAACACTGTCAACCCAGATTTCTAAATCCAGTGAAAACGTCATTTAAGAATGCAGGAAAAAATAGATATTGGCAGATTAAAAGAAAAGCAAAAGAATGGGTTGCAGCAGACCTGCACTACAAGAAATGCTAAAATGAGTTTTTAGGCAGAAGGAAAATGATATGGGGTAGAAACTCAGATCTCCAGGGAGGAGTGACAAGCATCAGAAACAGTGATCTCTGGGTAAATATTAAAGATTGCTTTTTCTCCTAATTTACTTAAAAACATAAATGCTTAAAGGAAAAATTATATAATTGAAGGTTAGCCCTGAGCTAACTACTGCCAATCCTCCTCTTTTTGCTGAGGAAGACTGGCCCTGAGCTAACATCCATGCCAATCTTCCTCTACTTTATATATGGGACACCTACCACAGCATGGCTTATGCCAAGGGGTGCCATGTCCATACCCCAGAACCAAACTGGCAAACCCCTGGTCGCCGAAGCAGAACGTGTGAACTTAACTGCTGTGCCACCGGGCCAGCCCTATCAGTTGCATTTCTATACACTAACAACAAAACAGCAGAAAGAAAAATTAAAAGTACAATCCTATTTGTAGTCACCACAAAAAGAATAAAATACTTAGGAATAAATTTAACCAAAGAGGTAAAAGACCTGTATACCAAAAACTATAAAACATTGTTGAAAGAAATTGAAGAAGACACAAAAAGATGGAAAGATATTCCGTACTCACAGATTGGAAGAATTAACATCGTTAAAATGGCCATACTTCCTAAAGCAATCTGCAGAGTCAATGCAATCCCTATCAAAGTCCTAGTGACACTTTTCATGGAAATAGAACAAAGAATCCAAAAATTTGTATGGAACAACAAAAGACCCCGAATAGCCAAAGCAATCCTGAGGAAAAAGAACAAAGTTGGAGAATAAATCACAAACCACACTCTCTGATTTCAAAATGTACTACAAACCATAGTAACCAAAACAGCATGGTACTGGCACAAGAAGGGACACACAGATCAATGGAACAGAATCGAGAGCCCAGAAATAAACCCACACGTCTACGGACAGCTGATTTTCGACAAGGGAACCAAGAACTTACAATGGAGAAAGGAGAATCTCTTCAATAAATGGTGTTGGGAAAACTGGACAGCCACATGCAAAAGAATGAAAGTAGACCATTATCTTTCACCATGCACAAAAATTAACTCAAAACGGATTAAAGACTTGAATATAAGACCTGAAACCATAAAACTCCTAGAGGAAAACCTAGGCAGTACGCTCTTCAACATCAGCCTTAGCAGTCTTTTTGAATGCCACGTGTCCCCAGGCAAGGGAAACAAAAGGAAACATAAATGAATGGGACTACATCAAACTAAAAAGCTTCTGCACAGCAAAGGAAACCACCAACAAAGTGAAAAGACAGCTTAACATTGGGAGAAGATATTTGCAAACCATATATCAGACAAGGGGTTAAGATCCAAAATATATAAAGAACTCATACATCTCAACAACAACAAAAACAAACAATCCAATTAAAAAATGAGCAAAGGATCTGAACAGACATTTTTCCAAAGAAGATATACAGATGGCCAACAGGCACATGAAAAGATGCTCAACATCACTAATTATTAGGAAAATGCAAATCAAAACTACAATGGGATATCACCTCACACCCGTCAGAGTGTCTTTAATTAACAAGATAAGAAATAACAAGAGTTAGAAAGAATGTAGAGAAAAGGGAACTCTCATACTTTGCTGTTGGGAATGCAAACTGGTGCAGCCACTATGGAAAACAGCGTGGAGATTCCTCAAAAAAATTAAGAGTAGATCTACCATATGATCCAGCTGTTCCACTTCTGGGTATTTATCCAAAGAACACAAAAACCCTAAGTTGAAAAGATATTTTCACCCTTATGTTCACTGCAGCGTTATTCACAATAACCAAGACTTGGGAACAACCTAAGTGCCCCTCAATGGATGAAAGGATGAAGAAGATGCAGTATATATACTCAATAGAACTCTACTCAGCTATAAAAAAAAAAAAGAAGATGAAATCTTGCCACTTGTGACTACATGTATGGACCTTGAGAGTATTATGCTAAGTGAAGTAAGTCAGACAGAGAAAGTCAAATACTGTATGATTTCACTCACAAGTGGAAGATAAAAACAACAACAAACACGTAGAGACAGAGAACAGATTGGTGGTGAATGGGTTGGAGAGTGGGCGAAAGGGGTAATAGGACACATCTGTGTGTGGTGACGGACGGTAGTTAGTCTCTTGGTGGTGAACATGACGTAGTCTACACAGAAATCGAAATGTAATGATGTACCCTGAAATTTATACAATGTTATAAACCAACGTTACCTCAATAAAAACAAACAAAAAAACTTAGGTGTTAGAAAAGAAGGGACCAAAAGAGAATTTTAGCAGACGGAATAGATAGCATGTAATCTTCAGCCGTGGCTGTGGAGAAGCTGGCAGGGGCCCAGTTGCTGGGCGGAATAAAGAAACCATGTTCTTAGGGGAAGAGGAGAGGGCAGAAGGGGTGATAAGGCTCACATGTGAGGGGATGGATTATAATTAGTTTTTGGGTGGCGAACATGATGTAATCTACACAGAATTCGAAATATATTATGATGTACATCCAAAAGCTGTATAATGTTATAATCCAATGTTACTGCAACTAAAAAAATTAAAATATATTTAAAAAAAAAAGGGAAACCATGTTCTTAAGTACCTCACCTCTGAGGCACTTGAAAGAGAGGACCAGGCCATGAGAATCCATCTCCAGGCATCCAAGGTAGGGATGAGGACCAGGCCATGAGAATCCATCAAACATCCCAAGGTGGGATGAGGACCAGGCCACGAGAGTCTATCCCCAAGCATCCAAGGTGGGGATGACGGATAATGAAACAGCAAATATTGGGTGCACAGGATCAGGGATAAAAGTAAGTTCTTCTAGCCACTTGCAAGCTTCCTTCTTCTTTCCTGCCAATCTAGCCACTGCCTCGTCACGTGCTTCATCAGGAAGCCCTGAATGCCAGCCTCTAATCAGCCACTGACTCACTGTGCCACCACAGGCAAGATATTTCCTCTCCCTGGACCACAATTTCGTCATCTGTGAAACAAATGGGTCAGATAACATGATCCCCAGGACTTCTTTCGGTTCTGAAATGCTGCCACGTTCTGGGAGAACCCACTTGTCTCAGAGCTCCACCGTATTCCTCTGCAATTAGTCAAAAGGGCAGCATCCTCCGTCTGCCAGCTTTCAGGTCCCCCTGCACCATGTTTTTTCTCATTAGCACATGCAATCTACTATTATTTGCCTGATATTTTGCCTTAATCTGGCTTATTTATTTAACTTATCATAAAAGGAAATATCATACTCCTATCCCAGTTGGAAAGTCATATCACTTGCCCAAAAATAGTGGGCAAATGGCAAACATAGGGAAAGTAAAATGATAATACGAAAGTTTAGACTTTTCTGCTCATTGAAGTGTCTGATCCTGAGGTGCAACTCTCTCTGTGACAGGGGCTGGTTAGCAAGTGCTAAAGAGATCTTAAAGATAAACTAGCACCAAGCGGAAGCTGTCTGCATCAGCACACTAGTAAAAATTTTAAAAGCTACCAGCCAGTGTGTAGAAAAACGAGAACCCTCCTGCTTTCTTGGAGAGCCTATAAAATGCTGTCATCACTTAGGGTAACAATTTGGCAATCTCTCTTTAAATGGGAGAAGTACACATCCAGCATTTCCCCTCCGCAGTATATCCCAGGAAAATTCTTACACGTGACACATGAAGCAGCATTGTTTGTGATGGCAAAAAATTAGAAATAAAAGTCAGCACAAGCATAGATATGGATATCTTT